CACCTATTCCGGCCATGAACCTTCACAGATGTGCACAATGCATGAACCACCCACTTGTTCACGCTATTTGGTTTGTCTTGATTTCTTCCGCGTTGAAAGTCCTGTTTTCAATGAGCTCCGCAGAAAATTTTCACCTTTTCAATCAGTTAGCCCACATCGAGCGAAAGAAATGGTCAACTCCTCGTGGCCCAAAACGATTACTCGGACGATAACGCATTTGCATCTTTTCTATGCTGTTTGTTGACTGCAGTATTTTTGCGCAGTGCTAATTGTAACATGGAGTACACATAGCTTTCAAGTTGTGATAAGCCTCATAAATTTGCACCGGTTTATGAGCACCATCTCCAATTGATCAATGATCACATCTGTCGCTGGATCGCTGATTTACACGTTTTGGACTAATTTTTGCTCCATAGAACATAAAATATCGGTTTATTTGTTTCATTCAACTACATCCCGGTACAGTGTGCCTCGGTGTCGCCTGGTTCCGTCCTCATCCGCTTCCATATGTTACAGCTCACAACTGCAATCCGATCTGGTGTTTTCGTTGCAACATGTGGCACTCCGTGTTGGCGGAGCCATTGTCACTCACTCCCACCGTTTTGTATATGCGTTATTTCTTTTCCCCATGGCTTTTTGATTATCTGTTATTTACATGACACGATCACAATCATCACAAAAACTTGAACCCCCTTCTTTGTAGCGTATACACAGCCTATCATCCACCGCGAATGTCCACATGTTTGGCTTCTCCACCAACCTCCTCGCTGTCTCGTGGTTTGCGCTCCAACTCATGGACTGTGCAGTTCGCGCCAAATCCGAGCAACATTATCTGGTACGTGCTTTTTGTTTGATTGATTGTGTGCAATATTTCCGCCGATTTACGTGCCTTCATTAACTGATGAACTGGAGGAGTTTGAGCAGCTTTTGTTCGGCGGGAAATCCAACTTTGAGAAATAACTGTTATTCATGCATTCGAGGGTTTGTTCAAAAGACCATTGTCATTGATAGATAAATTTTATATTATGAACAAGACAGGACGTCGCAATTGAGTGCCTGAGACAAATGTATGTGTGGTCGATTGCATGGATCGAGCATTGATGGTGTCTGTGGTTGAATAAGCTGTCAAAAGTAATACCAAACTATTCCCTGTTGATATTTACGGATAACCGTGAGTAAAAATGAAAATATCACACTTCTGGTGCGGATGCTGTTCGAACTTTTTGAGGGTCTTGCAAGCAAAACATATTAATTGAGCATCGACAACAAAAATCGCTATTTTTTCTCGATAAATTCAGATTTCTGTTTTAATTAGATTACATAATGAAGTTCGTCGCATACAGAACCCGGGAAAAATGATCCAAAAAGCTAGGAAGTATTACACGACAGTTTCGAGCGTGTAGGCGGTGGTGGCCCGGTGGTAACGTCACCAAATTATCACCCCGGAGGACGAGTGTTCGAATCCTACCACCACCGCCTAACTTTCCCCATTTATTTGTTGTATGGCAATCTTTTCATTGATCACTTCCCCCTTCCTGAAAATTGTATCATTGTGTATTCAATAAAAGGAAGTTAAAATGAAAAGAAATGAAAAAGCATTGAGCATCCGGCGATTGATCGAGGGACAAGAGACTTTCCTTGCGACAAGAATTCACCTTCGGAATGTTTTCGACCGATTCTTGACGCTGGTGTGGAAGGTGCTAAGATGCCCATCACAAGCTTGCAAATATGGGTTGAGCTAAACCATGTACAGCAAAAGTGAAACAATCTGATCTTCTACCCTATGTTCACTTGGGTAAACTGCTCGATATTAATACAATGTGTTTCTGGGGTTATAAGGTTGGGTGCGGGGTGGAGATTTTAGAGCTAAATATAAATGTTTTCGACCGTCGGTAGAATTCGGAACCTGACCTCTCGCAGTACATTTTCCTTGATAATACAGATGATGGGAATCCTCGTACACATTGACCGCGTGATTAGCCTCCGTCATTACCTTGGCAACAGGTTAATCTCATGTGGTTCATTCTTTTGTTACTCACTCATCCACTCCTATCCCATGTTTGATCACCTGTAAAACACAAGTAGCGTATTTTTGGCCACTCGACGAAGCGATGGAAACAAGCATCTTTTCTAACCTTAGTTCCCCTGATCGATCTATCTAAACTATTTCATCTTTGATTTGAATATCTTATGCGTGGTGATTAGCGTCGGCTCGGTGAATTTGTCAACATTACTTTTGGAAGTCACAGTTACAAACGGCAATTTACCTCCACGCTATACCAATCCTTATGAACTGCGTTCATGGGATCTGTTAAGACGCCATCCAACGGACAGTAGCCTGGCGATTGCGCTCCAAAGATTATTTCTTACACCAGGATGCCTCAAAGCCTAGTATGGTGGAGTCAATTAATTCAAAAAGCGATGAGATACAGGATGATTCAAGGCAGGAAAAGTCACTGTTGGAAAAATCGTGCGAAATTCCCTCATCATTGTTGTGGCAGTGATTCAGTGCACATTTACTATGCAACTGGGTCAAATAAAACTAACTCCTCGACCCACGCATGTGGATGATTAATGGCTGCTCCCCGTGCTTGCGATTTGTTGTGGTGCCATGAATGAATCACACTTCGTCGTGTCACATGCATCAACTTCGTCCTCGATTCTGTCTTCGTAGTATAATTCAATGTGTTCAAGGTTGAAAAACTATCTCCAGTCACTTTATTTTTTCGAGTGCCTGATCGTAACATGATCGAATAAGGGTACTAGGCCGAACAACTTAAATAATTCATCTCCCCGTCACCAAGTCTGCTGGCCGATATGTGGAGTCTCACTGAAATGTTCGCTCTGAATAGCCAGATGAGTTAATAGATCTTGTTGTCGTCCGCATGATCAAATTTCTTGTTTAGGCAAAGCCGTTATGCATAAAGTGTCATTGGCTTTCCGAATTCATGCCGCCCTAAACTACACTAAACCTAGATTATTCTTGCTTGGTCCAACGTGTGAGGTCCATGCAATTTCTCTTCACTCCCACCCACTCCTCTCTCGCGTGTGCGAAATCATCGAACACAATAAATCAGTGTGACCTTACGCTCATTTGGTGGTCAAATACTCTACGTGTTACCTCTTCTTTTTAATTTAGACATGCAACTGTGCACCTCATCCATACTCGTGGTTTTTCTTTATACGAAAGTTTACTTACCTTATTTTAATTGATTCCACAGACCCACTTGGTTTCCCGAACCGAATCCGATAAAAAAGAGATCAATTTCGAATGCAAATCATTCAGTTCGTTTGTGATTTCCATCTTTTTTCTTTCACTAACCGGCACTAATCGGATGCTAGTTGCACATCACTTTTGTGTCCCTCTTTCAGATCAAGCACATGCGCACGAATGAGTGTTTTTTTGGTACACAGGTCTTTATCGGTTTGATCAGTTGAAGCGCGGCACCGAATAGTCAGTCCGTGAATGGTACGTCATCGTGATTAGTCCATGCACGCATGAACATCAACACGTGCTTACAGGTCGGCGAAGGTTGGGGGGGGGCGTGTTTAAGACTAATGACAAAGGCCCCTGGTTGACTTGTTAAATGCCTCTGTTCACCTGGACCGCAGCCGCATTTCACTTGTTCTTCAGATTTTGCCTGCCTCAGGTCTGATGGAACACACACACACGCACGCACGCATGAACCCACAGACAACTTAGGCAACACGTACTGTGAAACGAATGCTCATGTGTGTATCCTGCTCAGTGTTGTATGGAGCATGCGACGATGAGGGAGGGACCAACAGAAAGAGAGAGAGAGAACAAACCGAATGATTTGCGGTACTTTCGTGGAACAGTTTTAAAACAAAGGTTTATGTCACTTTCCCAGGGTGCCAGGCTCTGGTCGGGTAAATCATCTTGTGCATTGTATTTCAAAAATATATGAGTAAAATTAGACGCATTTGCGCACAGGCGAATCCCTTGTGAATGGGTTTTCCTGTTTCACTTTTCTCTGCCTACCAAATTACACGGGATTGTTCTTGTTTTTTCCCCTGCCGTATGAATTTTTCCTGTTTATGAGACCTGCATCATACAACACCGCGTCCTTAGATTGGCTGTGATACATTAATCTGTCTCTCACTGGCTATTGCATTGGAATTCATGCCATCTGTTCGCTATGCCCACTTATCATTGCTGCATAAAAGATAATTTTGGACTTGTCAAAATAAAAACAAGTCAAGTGTTCTACTGTGTTCCTATGCATGTGAAGTAAACTCCGTTCGAATTAGGTAATGCACGCTGGCCAGCCAGATGACAGTCATCTGTTGTACAATATCTGAGAGAAAAAAAACGATTGTTCCTGTGGTGGTCAAACCAAACAATCGACATTTATTAGACTAAGGGATCTGACTTCCATCTTGAATTCCCGCATCCATTTATACACGTGGACTTTGTGTATCCAAGACTCCTAATTATATCAGGTCATTGACATGTCGCTCATTTAAATTAGTCGCCTCAGTTGTTTTTGTTAAGATAGAAAACACTCGAAAGAAAAAGGTGTCATCACCTATATCTCTCGAATCGGTCAGTCTGAGATTGTTTTCCATTTAACGAATGTCATTGATTGTCTAACTGTCCCTTGTCATCGCAATTATTCTATATTTAGAAACACTGTTTAAAAAAAGCACACATCTTCACGCTCTCAGTTTGATGTTATTACTTTGCTACGATCCATTCAAAGAATGTTCATGCGTGATGGTGCAATAGAATCCTCATTGCTAAAATCTCTGAAGACGGAAAGAGCCGGCTCACAAAACCCCATATTGTGCTGGTGTACGGTACTTTACCGGTATGATCAAGAGAAAAATTGAGGTTCGGAATGCATGGTTCACGGAACAATGTCTGATGTTAAAGCACTAAATGGATAAAAGAGAACGTATACCGTTGAAGCTGTCAACGACCACAGACTGAACGCACCATTTATTGGACAATCGATACTCACTCGTGCTCTTTAATGCCTTCGGTTTTTTTGAATCTTTCGTTTACACAAGGGGAGACTGTATTATCTGGATTCAACCAATTCAATTAGTCCCACACGTCCACACAACTGCATCCTCAAACACGATGTGTACACCTTAGCTGGAGGTAACAATTATTAGAAAGATCCCTGTCATCGTGTTCAATTCCTGGATGTTGGACCATTGTGGCTTTCTGTTCCTGTACTGAAAATCTCCAGCTCATTCAACCTTTCTAAGCAATTCCGTCCCATTGGTCTTACTTCATCCGGACCTAACAAACTCGTCGTTCTCTGTCGTCTGCAGTCCTCATGTGATATTTTCCGCTGGGTTTACGAGCTGAACAGATCCACTCTGGACGCGGAGTCTTGTCAAATTAATTATGTTGCGAACTCGTTTAGTAGCTGTCTCGCCTGTAAACTGTTTGTCTCCTGAATAATTTTCAACATTTGACCTGATCCTTCGATGGTTTCCTCTTCGAGAATAGCTTGGAGTGTTTGGTTGACCCAACAATCTACTTGTTAAACTGACGGGCTACTTTTTGCGCTGTGGACAATGCGTCATAGTTGCCAAAGGTTCTTTGAGCCTCTACGAAGTGATTTAGAAACAGATCACCACATTTTCATAGACCAGTGATTTATCCGTTTGTTCATCAACCCACCATCCCTATCATTTCACACGATTCCCCGCTTTGCTAAAAAGCGACTTGAGATTACTGCATCGCGGTTTGGCCAATGTCACCCGTGTATACGCCAGCCCTTTCGGAGTGTTAGCTAATGGAATATGTGATTTTCACACTAGTACATGCGAGAGATTTGCTGAGAAAAATTGTCAAAAGCCACACACACCGATCTTACCGACTACCGACCCCATTCAAATACTCGGTATCATTTTCGTAATCATGTTCATAATCCTCACTAGAATAAATTTGCGCAGGAACTGTCCTTACTTGGGCCATGTTCTTATGGATGTAAAGAGAGACATCAGAACTTTTTGTTCAGTTTGTTTCAATTGGAAAACTGTTTTTCTTACGTTTTTCTTTCGGGATTATTCAATATCCATTATTTATCAATTTGATGCACGGTCACTAGACGTTTTTGACTTTAATGCAAGATGAGAAGCTCGTAAAAGTTCCATAAATACAAGAGCACAATTTCGGCTCGTCTGTGGGTCAACTGTTGATATCTTGATGCCTTCACATAGTTGATGATATTCCATCATTTCAGGCCCAATTTGGCCGTAACGCGTACTGTGTGGTGGATGCGCGCGGTCACCGTGAATATATTCGTCTTCTTGATTGTCTTCTTTATGACCACGCCCACTTATGTGCTGAACTTGGTCAATAGTCTTCAGATCATGGACAAATTGCAAATCCACGTGAGTTCTGTTTGCTTTATAGTGCTTTCACCATGACTTTTGAATTTACCTACCGGATTGACGCTTGGTCCTGAAGGCGTTGGGGATATAGCCTTTTGAAACTGTAACTTTGTAGTGAATAACCGTTCCTTTCGCCTGTTCGCTGAACTTGGCAATTTGTTTGCAAACGTTTAATCAACAGCCGAGGTGACATCGTCAGTGCTTGACAAGTTTCAGTACTTTACCAAATGACCGTAGCAGAAAACCTGCGCACGATGGTTATACTTTCTTCCTTTATCTTTCTACGGTTCACCAATTGTACATTCGACTACTCCACGATCAGTTTTTCAGTACGAGCTTTTACCGTGCCGGCTTCTCGGTCAATATTTACGTGACAGAAAAAGTGATAATCACAAATAAACTTCATCACTTTTCCTTGATCTGTTCATCTTTGTTTACGAATTTGCGGTAACTGCACTGTTTTCTCGTGCTCATTCTAATTTATTTTCCATTTTGTACACGTGTTCTAACTTTGAATTCTTCTGGGTTCAGTCTGTCTGTCGAACTAGTTATGATTTAGACATTCTCCCAAATCGTTTCGTAATTTGTTTATATGCGCAAACTGTCTAATTTTCTAATCCAAAACAGGCATAGTTTTTATTCTCAACCCAACCCCTACCTACTTACACTGTATAAGTTGTTACTCGTTTGCTGCTGAAGGTCTACTGAGTTGTGACCACGCTATACACGACCTCCAACTGAAAAGATGTTCTCTTGTTGTGGGTTTATCTTTCTTCCAGGTGATTATTTTACTCCTCTTGCCGTTACAGCTAAATGCAATGGTCATGAGAGTTGAGATGACGATTGTGTTGTCACGTACTCTGGATGGAGGTGGATTTCAGTGTTAGTGTTGTAGGAACCCGTCTGCTATGTTTCGGTGGGCAAACTGTTACTCACGGATTGGTACTAATGGGTTGCCAGAAGAACCATTCTTCATCGGTTCGGGCAGCGTGTCAACAGTGTATGTTGCTTAAGCATCATATGGTGTCGTTTCTATATATGTGCATTATATGTCTTTTGATTTCACGCAATAGGTATATATTTATCATCTCCACTGGTTTTAGATTTGAACTCATCACACACGTATATTCACAACCTGGTTTATACGCACGGCTTTTTCTTCCGGGGTTATCATAAAGCTCATGTTGATCAGGCCTCTCTGTCGATACTCCTTTTTATTTTGTTATGGATAAGATTCAAAAATGACCCAATTTTTATCCATGTGACGTCTCACGTTTTCCCTGTGCCCTCACCCAGAATCCCATACTGATCCAATTCATCCCGTCCATTATCCTCTGGAGTGTTTCCGCATTGTTGCCCTACATTGTGCACAATTCGGACCGTTTAGTCGGTCATTGGACCAAGTCCGGTCTGCACTTGACCGTGATGGCGAAAACGTTCAGTTTGCTCATTCTCATGGTCCTTGTTCTGCCTTCATTGGGATTGACTTCGTAAGTTCAATCTTTTCCTGTTTGTGTGCTTGTGTGTAGAATCCTGTTTAATTTCGTGATTGCGCTGAGGCTAAGATGAACAGGTTTCCATTTTGTATCTCAGTCAATCAGTTGAATCTATGGGCCTGCGACCATAGTTCTCGGACATGCACGTAAATTGTGATGACCTATGCGACGCAGAAAGCAAAGTTGTCTGTGTTTCTCACCTCCCCCTCCGGCACCCCTCATTCAAAATCATGTTTATTCACTGAACGTTCTTTGATAGATCACTTATAATGCCACCTACAGAGGAATTTTCACACGTTGAGTTGCATTTTACTCCATCTACTAGCAATTCCTAAACATTCGATTCTTTTTACTTGAATGGATAATTGTGTAATCAGCTGTCAGCTATAGAGTGAACATCACAAGGCTTTCTAGTGATGTGTCGAAGTGGGGAAATTGTCACTTGACTTCCGCTGCCAACATCGTCTTAGCTGGAGTCACCAATCGAACACACCGAGTTATATGACTTGGAATCTATGCCTTTTGTAATGTGCTTTATCCTTTCCCCGTGCTTGGTCGGTCGTACATCGCACGAACACAGAGAAACGTATCGCTGTGAGCCTCTTGCAATTCCACCGCTTCTCGAGAACAGTTTGTTTATTTGCTTAAAGACCGACCTCCTTAGTAATCGTTTTCATATCGCCGTCTTTTCGATGCATCCAATACGATCCGACTATGATATTCGTAGACCTGTTGAAGCTGCTATCGCTGGAAGATTATTTGTTTCACGTGTGTGTGAGAGAGAGAGAGATAAAAAGGAATGAAATCGATTTTTGCGGGTTCCCATTTGTCTGCAACTTGTTTTCGTGTAGGATCATACAATTTGATGTGGTTATGTTTTGCTTCAGATTGCATCAGATTCATCCACGGATAAGAACCCTGATGCAGCAAAGTCGTTTTTGTCCTGGCTGTGTCTGAAGAATGCGGAATACTTTGTACACAGCCCACGGTTGGGATAAAAAAAGTATGCCGTGGGTGCTTTTCGTGAGCCATGAGTCAGTTTCTCCCAAATGTATCATTGGGTACACTTCATAACACGAGTATTCTGTCACCGAAGCTTGGTTGGTTAATGTAGTGCAATCCTTTTCATATTCCGACACAAGTGCACCGTAAATGATTGTTTGAATCGAATTCACTTTTTCGTTCATCAGAATTCCTGCATTTTTCGAATGGCTATTTCCCGGTCCGCTCATTCCGATTAATCCACCGGAGAAGAATACGACGGACGGTACAAACAATGACACAACAAATCCAGCGTACATTACTACCACTCCCATCCCCGTACCGGTGCCGTTTGGTCCGAACGATTCTCAGTCGTTTCGTTGGGAATGTGTTTTCATGCCGGACAATGGCGCGTTTTTCGTGAACTATGTGATCACATCCGCGTTTATCGGTA